GTCGATCTTTGGCACTCCATACACCCTCGGAAGAATCCCATTACAATATAATTTTTTTGTAAGTAGTGTGATATATCAAGTGAGATACGGCAAGTGAGAATATCTTTTCGGAAGTCCTGTACCGTTCATGTCTAATAACATTAAGATTCTTACGTATGTTCTGTAACTCTAATCTAACAATAAGTATAATATTGAAAACGTGATGCCCGCGTGCATTAAAAGAACATAAGAAAGAAAAATGGTATTTTTTAACATAGAGGTTTGACATATGGGCCGAGTATTCGCAGAGACACTTTGAGAGTTAATATTATTTCATAGAAAAAGATCTTGACAAAAAACGAGATAAACGTAATAAATATCGTAAGGATTCAAGTGCGCTATTGAATATATGAGGTCACCGACCTCTGCAAGTAAATATTTGTTAGTAAAGTTAAAAGAATACGATGTTTAGACCCGTTTGTACCTGTTTGCACTACCTTTTATTTTATTTGTATTTCAGACTATTTTTGGAAATTTATCAGAAGATTCGGCTCTTTTTCAAAGTATCACAAAACGGCATTCACAAAAGAATCACTTGTATCTATTTGATCTTTTTTGGTTTCGGTTATACCTCAAAGGATTTCGAACTACATCACATCGCAGTTATTCGAAATACGCAGTAACTCGATTACCTTTCGGCTATTTTTAATTGTAAATTGTTGCAGTATTAATGTTTTATCTTTAAACATTTTTTATGGATACATAAATGTGAATGCTGTTTTTATAAAACGCATCGTTATTTAAAGTGCTAATCAATTTTAATATATGAAACCACAATAATTTAAAAGTCACATAATAGCACAGAATGCATATGTATTTCTTATCATATTCTATGCAAAATACGTTGTGAATGTAAAATATTGCCGTGCTGTAAATAGTTTAATATTATGTTTTGACATAATGTGAAGTTTATTCTGGATATCGACTCATCTCTTTCGCAAGGTCGTATCTGGATTTTACGCAATTTTCGTTTTTTTTTGTGCTTAAACGCTCATTCTGGTCAAGAATTTCTCTTATTATAAATAAATATTTAAAACAGCAATATTTGAATATCTGTACAATTGTATTATGACAAATATTTTTCGCAATGAATTATTTATATAAATTATTTTTAAAGTATTAGCATTATTATTAAATTTATTTAATTAGTTATCGGCGTGCAGTTTGCTGGACTGAAAAAAATATATAAGTACGCAAAAGAAAAATATAATTAAACAGTAAGATCCAGCAGGACCGCCAATGGTGTTTATATTAAATGGTCTTATATATTATTAATTGTTTTCAGAAATTTAAAAAAAATACATAAAACAGCAAAGATGTCCAACATCCTGGTTTGTGTACAATTTGAAGCATTTATTGTTCTTTATATGTTACGTTATTAAATTGATTTCATATAAAAACTATTATTTGGATATAATTTTATTATAGGAAAAAGTTTTACTTTTAGGAAATTGTGCATTTCTTGTGCGCAAATTCTGAAACACTATGTACAAAGTAAGATCATCAAAACTTGTTTGCGACATTTCAATAGAAATGTATTTCTGTATCAGGACAGCGGTATTATTTCATCTTATTTCTCAACAGATTTGATGTAGTATAAAAAAATATCCAAGTCAATGAAAAATTGAAAACCAGTTTTTTAACGTTCCTTCTACAGTATAAAGGCTCGAATATTTTAATATTAGCATATTTCTCACAGTGAAGAAAGAAATATGATGATGACAGGGGATTCGTTTGTATTTATTGCTTACGTGGACACGTTGTATGCACACGTGCATACATTTTTCATAGCCATGTACAATATGGCACGACTTACGCATTCCAAGTGCTCATTATTGATTATTTGATAAATATAATATAATTATGCATTTCATGCTGCAAGTTCTTGTGCACTTTCTCTTCAAGATACATTCGCTTTGATTTAGAATCGCGTTGCGACGACAAAATTGTGTCACTTTCTATGTGTATACAGTTGTATTCAGCAGCGCGCATGCACCACATGTATGTATATATGTATAATGTAAAGTCATGACGTGGAAGAAATGAACGATCAACAGAATTCAAATAAACTGCATAACTAATGCAGTTATTACATTGATTGCCATTTTGTTCTGTATGTTTCCACCTTAAGTCGAATATACTTTTTAAGAAACCACATATATGTGATGTGCACGCACAGTGTTGAATTCCTCGAGGAACGAAGGTAGCTATGTCCATTGCATTGTTCCCGTTCCGTGGCCACTGTATTCGGTGGAACGCGGTAACATCCTGCCAACGTCTGGCCGTTACTATGAAATGTCAAACATTGCCCATCGGCATAACTCACTTGCAACTATCTTGATTACGGATGTATGCTTTTCTGAAATTCCATCGCGCATTCTGATCATCGCGTCGATGCCGTGGTCTGTCGTTCTTTCGATACGCAATATAATAACGATCGAGTCGGTATTAGGCAAATGCTATTATTTTTTTTTTCTGCGCTACTTTCCCACACTATTTCACATTTGTCACGTGACCACGTAACTGAATGAGAAAATAAGTGACAGACAGAGGATGTCTACACCGCCAGCCAAGAGTTTGAAACTATTCTACATACAAAATGAGTTTTTTCAAGTTATAAACTTATGTCTTTTGCAACTCGTGTGTATTATTGTAACTTGAGAGTTTTTCAAGATACAATTATTTTTTCATTAAGTACTTTTCGAGTTACAAGATTTGAAAGTTACAGTACCGTCGGCATTGACATCACTCAAGCTCTCGAGATGAGCTACAAGAATTATACACTGAAAAAAATAGAGGTTTCTATTTCAGAAATATTCAAATAACTATCCAAGGTCGAACCAATGATGACATCATCTTATGTCCCCCCCTCGAAGTCGCAAAACTTTTGTATGAAACTTTTTTCTCTAAAACGCTTTGTTTCCGAGATTTAAGTTTGTAACACTTTAAAAAACTCACCCTGTATATAAAAATTAAAAATATTCCAATGAAACGCTTTGAAAGGAAATTCGTACCTTGTCTTACTTATTTCTTCTTTTAATTTTAAAATAAACATTCGTAGTCTCTAAGAACTTTTGACCGGCAATGTATATTCTAATCTCTTGACTTAATCCAGCTAATGCAATTACGTTTCTATTGTACGTACATGTGCCGTTAGAATAAAAGCGAGAATGGAAAAGAAAAGTTTAGAATAAGGAGTTGATTTTAAATTGAGCGTAGAAAAATTTAATTATATTCACAATATTTTTTAATTTCTTCAATGTATGCGATATTAAAAACTTATATGTATACTTGTATCTACTATCATTTCCACATGTTAAGTACAATATTTATAATATATGTTAGCAACCGTTAATCTACCTTTTAATTGCTCAAGAAACATTATTTCTACTTGTTACAGAGGAACGATAACCTCGACTTGTCTTTGAACGTCCCACAGCATCACCAGACACCATACCATCACGACAGCTACAATATGTCGGACCAGGTGAGCAAATTACCAGTGATAATTTATCGGTAGCTGCCATATTCATAAGGCGATTTTACTTATAGTGATTCATAAATTACATTAGTCAGCAATAAAAACATAGCCAGTATAAAAACAGCAATTCTTATAATTTTATGGTACCGACAACAAATATGTTAATAAAAATTAAAATAAATAAAATTTAAATTAAATTTCAGCTCTAATTTTCATGATACACTAATAATGAATATCAATGATATGTATGTGAGAAACCGAAGGTAAATGATAAATATGATGAGCGTTTTTACCAAGATATTTTGACAATGGAAAAACGATAACAAGAAAAGTGGAGTTCTGCCACATTACCAGACTACTTAGAAGTAGCGGGTAGCCTATGAGCGACAAACTAAACCAAAACACTCAAATGAAGTTTTAAATAACTTAGGACCAGTTTTGCAAACGTTGGTTAGCTGCTAACTGAAGGTTAATCGATTCTCTGTCGCTTCGCACGTAGACCCGGTTTTTAATTTTCTGGTTAACTGGTAACCAGAAGTTAGCCGACTCTCCATTTTGTTCTATGTTATTATCTGAGAAGAGATAGAAAGTCGACTAACCTATGGTTAACAATTAACCAGAAAATGAAAAACCGGACCATAATAATATAGAAAAAGATAAGGAGTTGATTAACCTCTGGTTAACAGCTTACCAACGTTTGTTAAACAGGCCTTTAGTCTAGCAAGATGTGTTTAAAAAAAATTAATTACTTTTTAGTCAATAAATGTGAGGAGGAAACAAGAGCTTTTAGAAAATAATTCAGTTTGTATTATCTTCAATATCTCATATAAACATTTTTATTTTATACATATAATCTATATCTTTTGAACTAAAGTTATGTAATGTCTGTCATGCTCACATTTAGTCCATTTACATAGAAATAAATGGAAATATTTTAAAATAAAGCAGGATACCAATTTTTATGCCCAAATTGTTAATTATTTTTATTTGGCTGTATATTTGTTTTTTATCAATTATACTGCGCTCGTCAAAATAGTTGTACAAAATAATGTTGTTTTAATCTAGTTTTAAAGAAAAGTAATAATATGAGACATTGAATCAACCGATAATTAGTTTATACGTATCACAAAATTTCTTTATCTAAAATTTATAAGCCTATGTAATTTATTTCATTGAAATGAAATGGATTGTCCCGCATTTCCATTAATATTTTTCAATTGCGTTTCAATTTTAGTTATTAAATTTACGACGCACTCTTGCGTCCGGCTGTCTCCAACTTTGATATTAAGTAGCTTGATTTAAAAAAGTTCGAAGAAATGCCTTCGTTCTTATTATTGGTTTTCATGTTCTCGTTCTTTTTTTATTTTATTCTAACTCGATTGGATAGCAACACGTCCAATGTAAAAATAATATTTAAAATGAACTACTTTACGAACATATCATTTTACAATGTATTAAACCAGACCAGTCCTATCAATAGTCGCGTCGTATAGAAAGAATATTTGAAAAATAAGATCTAGAATGGCGCAAATAACCAATGAATGCAGTCATGTCCTGATTAAATATAGGACGCGTTCAATTGGCCGCCAGTCGCTCGATTCAATTTAAGCGCTCACTAATTGCCAATCTACGATAAATAACCATCGGTTATAATTCATTTAACGCAGGAATATTGCGTGTTTCGATTTTGCAACTATAGCAAATCTGTCGAAAACAAATATCTTAATTCGTAGAACAATTGGTAACAAAACTTGTTTGCTAAAGACAAATTGTTTACATTAAATATCATTAATTTTTTATATACCATTAATTAAAAACATCATACTTGCGTGTAAATTATATTTGATTGCTGTTCTACTCATATTAAAAGAACTTGGATTTTTAAAAATTTCACTATATTCTTATAATACATTATTTTATCTTTATCGTATCATATTACAAATGTACTAGGAAAAGTATTATTTCGAGTCGACTGTTTTACGGCGCTCTTATATTTAGAATGCGCTTCGTAAAAAATTGATTAAATTCTGTATTTTTTACGATCGCTTCATATTGTTTCGCGTCCGTTTCCACTAGAATAATTATTGGTAAATTAGAAACATTATTTATATTTCCTTTTCTCTTAAATAAAATTAGTGTTATCCAAAATATGTGCATATTAATATATATTTTTTATTAACGTTACTATACTTTATTAATGTCGGAAATCTATATTATGAAATTTTTGATTCGTATAGGTAACTTCAATTTTGCATATTGTTAGATATTTGTGTATTTTAATATTTTATTTTCATTGCTTATTTCTCCAGTTGCTGATTTTATATTGCGCGTGCTTAGTACTTTCTCCATTGCATTCATTAATTATGTACAGCAACTCTCTCAGGTCGATATCAAAACATTCGCTTTTTTTTCTTCTGATCTACTTGTCTGCCTATATATCACTTTCTAAAACGCTTACACCACGTGTTTCCAACAAAGATTGCCAATCATATTTATCTGTCACTGTAACAGTGATAAATAAAAAATTGCAAAGTATTTTAGTTTCAAAAAAGTGTAGAAATATAAAATTTCATCTCAATATAAAAAATGTCAGTAAATGAAATCTCACTATATAAAAATAAATTGTCAGACATTAAAGCAAAAATAGGTCATTTTCAATAGAAAATATGAAAATTCGAATCTCATTTTATCGTTTGTCAATTTAGATTTTGTACTGTATCTCCATTTACACAGCATGAGCAGCGATAATAAAAACGTTCTTGTATAATAAGAGCACAGGTGCTATCGATCCAACTTAATAGAAATTTGATCGATATAGATCGATATAGATCTTATTAAAATATAATATACACTATATATAGTATGTATACATATAATATTATATATAATAGTGTATAGTATAGCAAAGACAATCTATCTTACTATTTACCGCATATTACTTTGAAGCATATTTATTAATTTCTAAAGTTACGTCTTTTGATTTCGCAAGAGTGTGTTTCCTTGCAAAATCCTCGTTTCATATTTTCTTGAAAATTGCACATATGAAGAAATTTGTACAATTCGTATTGAAATAATATGTAATTTGTATACGTGAGCACAGACTTGAAATAGGACGAGTAAAAAATGATAAGAGAACGGGTGGGTTGGTTGCATAACCCAGGAAACCATCTAAATAATATTTCTTCAAGAAGAAGAACCAAGTTGCGAGAGTCGCGCGCAAGTTTTAACGAGATGGCGGAACGAGTTTAGTTCACAGCGAGGAAAAGAAAAACGACGAGGACGACGACGACGGCAGGAAGAACGATATTTCTTCGTCGTTCGTTCGCCTTTCTCTTCACCCTCACATTTCACCCACAGTCTTGGGCCGATCGTACTATTTTCCTTATCTCTTTTCTTCTTCTAACTCTCCATTTACCTGCAATCCAATGTGAATCGCGAATACGGATTTAATATCGTCCAAGAAATGAAGATAAAGAAGAAACAAGTGATGAAAAATGGCTCGTTGAATAAAGCAACGGCATTGGATACTGTTGAGATGCTGTTATATATTTAATTAATGATCATTCTGTTGAACGGAAATAATCGGTTTTCCGCATGTTTGCAGTAATTCGTCGCGATAGCTGGGAGGCTACGCACGAATTAGATCGTAATACCCACCGCGAGAGTGGACCGCGAGTGACCATGCTCGTGCGACGAACGCGTAAACACAAAATGGATTTCGCGATAAACGATCCGCCGAATTAGGCGTAATAAAATGATTAATGGCATGTATAAATCTGGTTTGTATGCAACAGCACCTGTCCCATATTGCCAAATCGCGCAAATTACATGAATTGCGGCGAGCAGTTATTTCAATTTTGATTTGACACTAGTGTCGCTGGCTATTTTGGCCATGATACTTTAATAATAATAAAATAAAGTAAAGGCAGGGGTACTTTAATAATAGTGAAATAAAGTAAAGGCAGATGGAATATACTATAGCTACACTGGCGATCGATAACTAAGCGTGTTTCTTCAAAGGAAAATTCCTGACGCTATTAAATCCAATTTCAAAACTTTTATTCCCCCTACCACCACGTGCGCCACGGCAAATTTATTTTCCTTTCCCTTTGTGAAGGGGAATAAATTGCTAAAAGGATTCCGAACAATATAACGCTATTTATCATCCACCAAGGGACGTTAGAAGGTTGATTCTTTGATTCCACTTCCACATTGACTTCGCCTTTTCTTCGAAAAGGTCCTCTCCCCGAAACTTTTCATCTCCATCGTTCCTTCGATCGTTTCACATACAGAGATATACAACAACGAAAAGTAAAACCTTTTCGTCCGCTAACAGTAATTTACTAACGAAGAAACGTCATATAAATCTGTAATATTTCAATAAGAATGGAAGATATAAATTTGGCTCTCTACGAAACTTGTACGTAACAAAATTTAATTCATGTACGTGATTTGTTTGTTTCAGACGTTTCACACACCGAGTTTCGGTGACGAGGACTTTGACATACCAACTATTCATCCTCATTCGCATCAGCAGCAGCAGCAACATCATCAACAACACGACACCATGCAAGCGTACCAGCCACAAGTATGCTTCCATTCAGCAATGTTAAAATGAACATATTGTGTCATGTATTGCTTTAGGACAACATCCAAGTTTCAAATTAAATTTTGCCATAAACGTCTTGTGCTATCTTTATATCAGTATCTCTTCTTCGACAGAAATTTTAGTTTAGTTTCTCGTATATTTTTCATAGACGTGGAATCAAATTTAATGCTCAGGCACTACGTTTTTTACAACATTTTGACGTTAAAATGACAACAAATAACGCCAGCTTGCTACCTGGGTACTTAAATATCCGAGTCAGATCCAATAAGTTTTTTAGGATTCGAATAATATTCATAAAAAATTATGTCTCGTACTTGCGAAGTAATCAATCCCGGCTTAGAATTCGAAATTACGTCAACAATTTCGTCAGTTGTTCAATTCAATTCATTAAATTTCGACCTCCGCGAAACTTCAAAAAGAATTATTAACCAACACATAACAAGATGTAATAATATATACAGGGT